GGCTGTGTGGGAAGAAAGCTCAATTTCCATGAGCGCAGGCATTCTCCCACGCCAGCAGAACTTTGGGTCCCTGCTCCCCCAGGAGACACCCTGGGTCTGCGTAGACCTCCCAGGGTCCTGCCTCTCTGAGGGTCAGGACCACCTCTGCTGGAATTTTTTCCTTCCTCACTGTGAGCATTTTTAACTCTGGCCTCTGTCTCTTGTTCCAGGAAGCTGCCCAGCCTCCAAAGCCCGCTTATTTCTGTTCATTGGGTCTCAGACACAAAACTGCTCAGGGAGACAAGCCACCAAATATGACCACGTGCAGATCTGGACCAGATTTGGGGTTGGTACAAGAAGTGAAAGCTGTAGCTCACCGCTTGCCCACCTCACTTCCCCAAGACCCACACGTGCTTCCTTCTAAAGCTAGAGCAAGTTCTCTCCTTCTGGACTCTGAATCTCCCTCTCCCACTTCTCTTTAGAATGTGTACTAATTTATGCTCAGGGATTATCTCTTGCACATTTGAGGTGGATTTAAAAAAAAATTAAGATTTATTTATGCATACAAGAACTGGGGTACAGGACAGAGGTGTGGGAGGTGAGAGGATTCATCAGAGACAGAGTGGGGAACAGAACAGGCAGATTGACTGACATACATTGCTGAGGGGTGGCGCAGGCCATGCTACTCATGCTGTCTGACAAGGTCCGGGCATGAGGAAAGTTTCTGAAAAGTCAGAAACCTCCATAGCTGGCTCCTGCTACTTCCTTTCATTTGTTTGTGGCAGTTATTGAAACCACGGAAATTTTCTATAAGTTTTAAACTAACACAATGAGTGTTGGCATCAATGCCAATTTCGGTAATGCGCACCTCAGCAGTTTGAGAAATGTACCTTCCAACATGATTGATAATCAAATGATTCCCAATAATCCTCCATGTCCTCCAGTTTGTAATTCTGTTACTATGAGTAACACTGAGCTCTTTAGCAAGCCACACTTGACAAAGCTCTTGGAATAGAGCCCTGCAAAAGTCCCTCACTAGAGAAGACCCTGAAGCACCCCAGGAGGTGAAATGGTCTGGGAGAAACACACCACACACTGTTCCCATGGCACTGGGACACTTGGTTCCATATAGAAAATAGAAAGTCGCCCTCGATTTTACAATGCCTGCTTAGCTTTGTTTTAGTTACCTAGCTTGACTGCATAAATCATGTTGCTTATAGCACCTGTTTCTATTTTCTGTTTCTATTTTCTGAATAATATACATCACCTAGGAAAATATGTAACCAAGTGACCAAGTTAATCATAGACTAGGAAAATTAGAAAAAGGACTGTGCACTATTAATGATCATTAATAATTTCTGAAAAAATGTAAAAGTAAAATCAATCATGATTGCATGATGTAATGATCAAATAACAATTCCTGATGTTATAAATATAGCCCCACTGAGGCTATCAGTGGGAGATGTCTGCACCCTGATCAAGTGTCGGTGTCTCCTCACTACCTCATCTACCTCATCCCCCCTCCCCTCATCCCTCTACTTCGCCAATGCCCTCTTGTCCTTATAGAAACCCGGCCCCCCCCCCCCCCCCCGTGGGAGCTAGGACTCCGGCAGAGGGGAGCAGCAACAGGGGAGGTAAGAGAGAACTGCTGTGCCATGTGGGTTGCTCCCTGGCCAAGGATCGAACTTGTGCTGTAGTGGCTGCGAATAGCTTCATAGGTTGTGTCTTAACCCCTTTGCACCACCACGGAGGCCCGGATTTTTAAAAAATTTGACAGAAGATGCCACATTGTTTTTTTTTTTTAAGCCAGTGGTTAAAAAAAATAAAATCAAGTAGTACAAAAAACACACATTCAAAAAGAAGTTGCGCTCCCAACCTTGACCCTGAGTTCCCCTCTCCAAAGCATATCTGCTACACGTTTTTTGTACCTCCCTCCCTCCCTCTTGTTTTATTAACATTAAAATTCTGAAAATAAGTTCAGAGAAAAGGTAAAAAAAAATTAATAAGTGTGAAGTGAAACAAACAGGTAGGAAAGACACATATGTAAAAACTGCTTGGGGGAGATTTCCCTGGTGTGGACACCAGACTGGGTGAACGTCTTGCAAGATTAGTCAGATGGCATTGGGATGGAGAAAACCTTGCTTCTGTGCTTGATTTATTTTCCCCTGAATAAAACAGGCATTCTACTCTATACATAGGACTTTTTAAAAAAGATGTAACACAAATTACCTATTAAAAGTGTACAATATAATGGTCTTTAGTGTATTTATAGAGCTGTGCACAATCAAATTTATTTTTTTTATTTTTATTTATACAAGAACTGGGGCACAGACCAGAGGCAGGGGAGGGTGAGAGAAATCACCAGAGACAGAGCGGAGAACAGAACAGGCAGATTGACTGAAACACACTGCTGAGGGGAGCAGCAGGCGAGACGGGAGAAGTCTGCCGCGCTATGTGGGTTTCTCCCTGGCTGGCCGGGAATTGAACTCACACTGCAGAGGCTACAAACAGCTTCACAGAGCTGCACTGAACCCGCTGCGCCACTGGGGAGGCCCCTGCACAATCAAATTTAGAACATTTTCATCATCCCCAAAGAAGCCCTATACTCTTTAGTTCTGCATTTTCAAATCCCCTTGCCCTAGGCAACCACTAATCTACTTTCCGTCTCCATGCATTTCCCCAATCTGGACATTTTATATAAATGGAATAATGCAATATGAGATCTTTCATGACCGGCTTCTTTCACTTAGCCTAATTTTTTCCCAGTTCATTTATGTTGTAGTATACATGAGTACTTCATGCCTTTTTATGACCGAGTAATTAGTTTATGGCTGAATAATATCCATTGTATTGGTGTCTGAGGAAGAGGAAGCCCCAGTTTTTTTTTTTAACTTATTTTTGCATAGAAGAACTGGGGTATAGGCCAGAAGTGTAGGGGATGAAAGGATTCACCAGGGACAGAGTGGGGAGCAGAACAGGTGGATCTACTGAAATACACTGCTGAGGGGAGCAGTGAGCAAGACAGGAGAGGTCTGCTGCCCCATATGTGGGTTAGCTCCCTGGCCAGGGATCAAACTCAAGCCATCAAGGTGATAGTGTTGAGACTTAATCCCTAGGCCACCAGGGAGGCCCAGTAGCCCCAGTTTTAAGGCTACATTAAAGAAGAAATGGGCTACATTTTCTACTTTTAGAACACATATTTCTGAACGAAAACCTTTATGAAACGAAAGGTAAGACAAGGAAGGGAGACCCAAACAATACCAGTAGGCTTTTTTGTGTCTTTGGGTCTCCTGAATCCCCATTGTCTCCATCACCTCCTCCTCCAGTGTCTTTAGATAGGGCACATAGGTTCATTCTAGAATATCTTCCACTGATGTATCTTTGGGGCCATCAGTTCACATTACAAGGATAATACCATCAGTTCTGGGAAATTCCTGGTCTTGTGGAGACTCCTACCTGCTCTCCTGCCTCACTGAATCTCCACTCCTCCTCAGTGGGTTTCCTGTCCACACTATCCATGAGTTTGACCTGGTGGTGGAGCAAGGGTGCTTTTCTTGGGATCGTGGTTCCCTGGGTATCCTTGGTCTTGCCAGTATACCGGTAATATGTATTCAGTCCCTCGAGGACCACCCATTTTTGCTGCCGGATAACTTAAACCACTTTGCCTTGCTTCCTGGCATCCTTGCCTTTTAGAATCTCTACCCTGGCCCCACAGAACAGATGTCAGTGTTCACCAGAGACAGGTTCCACAGCTACATTGAGTCTCTTGATCCCTGGAGGGTTACTCCTCTTGTCTGACCAGGAGCCTGGATGGCTCATCCCATAGTAGTTATTGGGGTCAGGGGGCAGAGTAAACTTGCTGGCCAAGGCCAGCAAGGCATTGCTGCATGACTAGAGGCTGTGAGAAATCCCCTCTGCTTCCTGCACTGCCCTGAGTTTGCATTTTATTCTAAGTAGCAGATGGAGCCAATTGTTTGGGGATGGGGGGGGGGGTTAAGCCAGGTGTGAGGTGTTTGGGTTTTTATTTTTGAAAGATTATTCCAGTTTTTGTAAGGTGAATGGATTGAGGATAAGTGTGGGGTAGGAGGGAAGCTGGGACACAAGTTTGGAGGTAGCTGCAAGTCTTATAGGGGAGAGATGATGGTGGCTTGGGCCAGGCAGAGGTAGAGACAAATCTGGGGTGTTGCTGATGGATCGGATTTGAGGGAATGAGGGAGAGGGAGAAATTGTAAGACCCTTTGGATAGTGCATGTCTTCAAGCCCCAATGTTGGGTGCAGTCCAGAGCAAGGCAGGGTAGGGCAGGGCAGGGCAAGGAGATCTGCTTTGCACAGTACCTGGCACCCTCTGTACCGCTCCCCCACCTTGCTGGCTGGTGCTGGAAGCCCTATAGGGAAGTCTGGAGCCTTCAGGCTCCTCTGGTGAGGGGGCTGGGAGATCACCAGAAGTGGGAGAGTCCCCTTAAACTGATGGGTGAGTTGGTGGTGGGATTCATTCCCAGGGATCTGTGCTGGGCTTAGCCACTCCTCACCTCTCCTCTCCCTGGGTTGGGGGAGGAGGGGTGTTCTCAATAGCTCTCTCTACCCCACTATGAGCCAAACAGTTCCCCCCCAGTGTGAGCCACATGGATGCTGGGAGGCATGTGGCCATGAAGGAGCAGATGTCAGAGTAGTGGGGCCAGAATCCCTTTCCCCGTGCAGCTCCTGCCCAGGGCAGGATCCCAGCACCCAAGGGTTGCCTTTGCTTGCCCTCCCCCTCATCTGGGGCCTCAGTGGCGAGACAGTGGGGGTGGGGAGGTGGGGCGTGTCTCCGGAGAGCAGGGTGTGGCCTGTGGTCCAGATGGTCATTCTGTGATGGACAGAATGTCCTGACAGGGGAGGGTTAACCCCACTCCCTACCGTGCCAGCTGGCCGGGTGGTTTGAGGGTGCAGAGCAAGGAGTCCACACACAACCTGCTAGCCGAGCTCAGAGCAGGCTGGGGAGCTTCTGCAGCTGCGGAGCTGTCAGCGCCCGCCACCCCCTCCCGGCTTCACTTCCTCCCTAGGTCCTTGCAACCTCGCAGGCTCAGGATCCCAGCAGCCTGCAGCCCGCGGCCACGCCCTTACTTCAGCTTTGCGGGGTAAGTCGGGGGTGGTTAATTCCGGGGACGTCTGGGATGTCTGTGGGGGTCGGGGCCCCAAACATGACAGTGAATGATCAGGATGGGGAAGCTGGAGGGGCCCTTGCTTCTCCGGCCCCACGCCAGGGTCTGCGCAGGGCGTGGGTCCCCTCCACCTGCACGCCAGACCCCTTCATCTGCACCCAGGGCGCTCGAGGGTTTGGGGGAGGGTTAGGGACTGGACTGACAGCTGTTGCTGCTGAGGTATGGGAGTGGTGGGCTGAGGGGGGCGGGGGCAGCCCGGGAAAGGGGATTGAAGACACCGCCAGGCTGAATCGTGGGTGGTTCTCAAAGGACACCCTTGGGTGTGTGGGGCAGAAAGATGGTGGGTCCAAACTGCCAGGTCCTGCCTCCCCTGCTTCTACGGGAAATGTCCTGGGAGCCTGAAGCTAGGCGTTTGCTCAAGCCCTGCCCCCATCTCACCCTGCTGGCTCCCTTTCCTTCTTTCTTTTTAAAGATTTATTTATCTATGCGTACAAGAGCTGGGGTACAGGCCAGAGATGCAGGGGTGGGGGAGAGGATTCAGCAGAGACAGTGGGGAACAGAACAGGCAGATTGACCGAAGTACACTGCTGAGGGGAGCAGCGGGTGAGACAGGAGAGGTCTGCCTCGCCATGTGGGTTGCCCTCTGGCCTGCTGGGGATCGTACTCATGCTGAAGAGGCTGCAGATTGCTTCATAGTGCAATGCTTAACACCTTGTGCCACCAGGGAGGCCCCTCCCTTTCCTTCTTTCTGTTCCAACCTACTGAGGGGAGGGGAGACAGAGGGGTTTCCCTTTACTCCTCTGGGGCTCCACTTTATGTCATGTGCTGGGGCCTGTGGTTTCACTTCTCCTGTGAGGCGGTATTGTCAGCTGAGCTTCCAGAACGCAACCTAGGGCCTATGGCAAGGGGCTCTCAGAGGGAGGCAGGCAGTCATCTCCAGCACCACTCTGAAGTCCCTAGAGACCAAGGCGCAGAGAGGTGGCATTCAAAGCCTTCAGAGATGATTCAGACTGATAATACAGATGGGCCCTGAAAGATTCCAAGAACTGAAGAGGAACATCATGGTAGGATGAGCAGGTTTCTAGACCAGGCTCTGCCAATAGCTGGCAACCTTGGGAAAGTCATTTCCCCTTTCTGAGTCTTAGTTTTCTGGGCATAAAATGAGGGGTTTGATAGACAGGTGTTGGTTTTTTTTTTAAAAAAAGATTTGTTTATGCATATAAGAGCTGGGGTACAGGCCAGAGATGTGAGGAGTGAGAGAATCCACAAGAGACAGAATAGGGAACAGAACAAGCAGACTGACCGAAATACACTGCTGAGGGGAGCAGCAGGAGAGGCAGGAGAGGTCTGCTGTGCCATGTAGGTTACTCCCTGGCTGGCCAGGGATCGAACTCATGCTGCAGCGGCTGTGGATTGCTTCACAGTTCAGTGCTTAACCCCTTGCGCCACCAGGGAGGCCCCAACAGGTGGTTTTTTAGACGGTTTCCCTCAGAGCATTCCCCCTCTGTGGTGAGAGGTTGAGTGACGCGCCCCCACCCCATAACTGCACTTTTATCTGTTGTGAATATTAGCCACTGAGCAGGATGTAGAGAAAAGGTTTGTACCGTTAACGCAAATGTTTGTTACGCCCAGACCAGGGTCTGTGGCCTCTCAGATATCAGGAGGTCTGGGAGGGAAAGTGGGGACAATCATGGCCCTTCTTGTGGGACAGGGTTAAAGAGGCAGCTCCACTGGGCCCCTGTTCTCCCCATTTCAGGATGTGGGGCCAGGGGCCTCCTGCCCTCTCCTCACCGTCTGTCTTCCTCCCTCCTGGCCCACTCCCCCTCCTCTTGGGCTCACTGTGGGTGAGACTCCTTGCCCTCAGCTTCTAAACATTTCCTTTTGCAGGCCCCAGCCAGACCCCTGACCTTATCTGGTCTCTGAACTGGAAGGAAGGAGAGGCTCTGACATATCAGTCTCCACAGGGATTCCAGCTGCAGAGGCAGCCTCCTCCCCTCAGGATGACCTCACCCTCCAGCCCTCCTGCTTTCCGGCTGGAAACATCATACGGATGCCAAGAAGGTGGTCCTGAGGTAGACAGAGAAAAACATGGGAATGGGCCACCCCCCATGGAGTCACCATTCCAGGGCGAGGACCGGAACTTCTCCCCTGAGATCAGAGTAAGACTCGACTATGGAAAGAAAAAGGGAACAGGTGCCAGGTAAGGCGGCAAGTGGGGTGGAACTTTGGGCCATTCACCTTCAGTAGAGGTCTCCTCATGAGACTCGGTGGCCCAGCCCAGCCCCAGCACCCCTTCCTCAACCTGCTGAGTTCTCAGTCTGGCTCTGATGGCTCCTGGGCCCATTAATGTTCTTGACTCTCTCCTCAGACTAGAGTGTGGATCCTGCTACCATAGGAATTGTGACAGTGAGGGGAACTAGGGCACAAATAAGGTGGATGCAAGGATCACTTGAATACTTGGAGTTGGAAGAGTATCTTTCTACACAGTACACAATCTCAGAAGGCAGGACAAGAATGGGAAAGGTTCTGAAAAGAACAACCCTGTCCTGCAGCACCAAGGTCAGATTCTGACCTAGATAGGAGGGAATGCCAGAGCCTTCTGGGATTTGAGTAGCCTGCTTGACAGGGAGAATGGTGCTTCATTCTGTGCCTTTTTTGTGCTTCCCTACCCCAAGCCTGTGATGCCACCCTGTGACAGGAAGTGCTTTGTCAAAATGACCACTTCCCCCTGCTGGATTCTCCAGTCAGTCACATTGTGGCCACATGGTGTGCTGGGCAGAGGATGGTATACCTTGCAGGGTGAGGAAGACAAACACTTCCTGACATTGGGGAGGCAGGCCTGGCTCCATCAGTCATGAAGAAAGCATGACTGAATCCCCCCTTCATTGGAGAGTCAGAAAGTCTTACTTGATTGGCCCATTCCACAGTAAACATGAAACTGGGTCCTGAGGCTCTCCAAAGCATCAAATACCCCCCTACTTTTGTTTGTCTGGTCATATTGCTGGTCATGGTACAAGGAGGCTAGGGGAAACACTAGCCTCTGTGAAGAATAATGTATCATCTTTCCCCATCACCAGACAGTGCTAGATTCTGAAGAACCACAGCCCCATCTGGGCCTTTTTCTAGAAGTGTAACTTCTTAGCAAAACTGAAATAAATAAGCTTCAATGCTGGGACCAAATCTAGAATCTCTGGGGGAATGGGGGTTGGGGGTGTGGAGGGAGTTCGGGTCAAGAATTTGACATCCCCTGCGAGCCCTGGTTGGACATCATGTGAACTTGGGCAAGATTCTTTATCTCCATGTTTATCTAAACAGGGAAATAGTGATTTCTGGCTGATAGGACTGAAATGGGGAGTGAAGGTGCACATACTCCTTTGTTAGTCCATAGATAGTTTTTGAAAGGATTGAAAGGATTGAGGGGCTTTTCCTGATTCCTTCCCCTAACAGTCTGTGGGCACTTCCTGTAGCCCCATCCCAACCCTGACTCCCCCTCAAGGGCCAACTTTAACAAAGCCAACTTTATTTTTTTTTTTAAGATTTATTTATTTATGCATATAAGAGCTAGGGTATAGGCCAGAGGTGTGGGGGGTGACAGGATTCACCAGAGACAGTGTGGGGAACAGAACAGGCAGAATGACTGAAATACACTGCTGAAGGGAGCAGCCAGAGAGTCAGGAGCTGTCTGCTGTGCCATGTGGGTAGCTCCCTGGCCAGGGATGGAACTTGTGCTGCAGTGGCTGCGCAAGCTTCATAAGTTGTGTCTTAACCTCTTGTGCCACCAGAGAGGCCCCAACAAAGCCAACTTTAAATCAAAGCAACCAAATATTTTACCAGTGAAAATTAGTTCATTTGGGAATTGCAGTTTGGGAAATGCAACTTATGGCAGGCCATTGGCAAATTCAGAAAGCAAGAGAGGGGAGCTTGCTTTTATGGAGGAAGGGGGGTGGGGTACACCCCTTCCTACTTTGGTTGGCAATGAGGCTTGTTCTTATGGGCGAGAGCTCCCTCTAGAGGCCTTCCCAACTGTGATTTTAGTTGAGGTTTCCTTTATTAATTTTCACAAATGTCTGCGCTGAAATCGACTCTATGGGATAATAGGCCTGTTGCAGGATCATTAAGGGACCTAGAAAACCTTGAGTACCTGATGCTGAGAAACACCTGTGTGTGATGCCTGGACTCAGGGATGCATCAACCGGTGCCTGGAAGGGCCTCTTCTCCTTGTCCCGGGGCTCTGCACCTTCTGGGAGGGGGGTCCTTAGGTCTCCTTGGTCACCCTGGGAGGACAGAAACTCAGAAAGACCTGGGCCTGTAGGGCGCACAGTGCTCTTGGACTTCCTGAAAGGGGTCCCTGGCGTAAGGAGCCTTCTGAGGTGCCCAGGGTTCTTTTACAACTATCAGTCACAAACCACATCCCCCACAGCCAGCCGGACCCAAACCTCTTTGACCGTGACCGGCTTTTCAGAGTGGTCTCCCGCGGCGTCCCTGAGGATTTGGCTGGGCTACCAGAATTCCTGCGCCTGACCAGCAAGTACCTCACTGACACCGAGTTCACAGGTAGGCGGGTCCTGCTGGCAGAGCTATGGCATTCTCCCGGTCATGCTGAAACTGGGCTGATGGGGTGGAACCTTGACTATGATCAGGAGCCAAGGAGCAAGTGTTGGTAGTAGCCCCCCTCCCAGAATGACTTAGGGGCCCTGCAGATAGAGCTAAGGACAGCCTCCTAACAGTCTGGCTGTGCTGCCACCTCCTCCCACCTCACCGGCCTGCTACCCCCAACCCATTTCAGTACTGGGATGGGTGCTTGTGGACATCTCAGTGCATTCTTCTTCTTTACAAAAAAAATAACATCATTATGATGTAACATACACACCATATACTTCACCCCTCTCAGAGTGCTCTGTCCCAAATATAAAATCCTTATTGTTTGGATGGGTTAGGAAAATAACATTTGGGTTCTCTAGAAGATTCAAATAGTAACAAAATATACAGAGTGGTAAAATGTATAAAATGATAAAAACAATGTCATTCTGGACCCCTGTTAATGATTTGGGATGCATCTTTTCTTTTTTTTTTTTTAAATAGAGGCATGTTTTATTTATTTATTTGTTTGTCAAACGTTGGCAACACATAGGCATGTATTTACATAACTGGAACTGTGTTACACATAATAATTTGCAATGTGCTCCCCCCTATACCTTACAACGTCCTGTAGCACTTGCCATTTCAGCAAATATATATTTCTAGCTCAGTGATTTTGACCACTGCTGACTTTGAAAGTGTATAGATTTACCATAATTTAGTTAACTGATTCCTTGCTGTGGCCCTTTAGGTTGTTTGTCATTGTTGGCTTCAAGTACTGTGCGCTAAGCACTTTGTACATGGTTCCATTTGACCCTGGAATACCCTTACAACATCCCTGGAACAGTGCCATTTAACAGTGAAGAAAACCAAGATTGGGAGAGGCCAACTGACTTGCAAGAGGAGATAGGACCATCAAGTGGGGGAGTCACTTAACAACTGCTCTGAATGTTCTTGAATAGATAGCATGGCATGTATGACACAGTATGTCTCAGAAATGTAAATTCTAAGATAGAAACTAGTCGTGTCTGCTGGTAAGTTAATATCTGTTAACTGGAGTCTTGAGATCATGGCGGCCCAGCAGTGCTCCCTCCTGTCTATGTGGCAATCTTTTAATCCTTCCAAGGAGCACTTTGGAGCCTGGGTTCATTGTACAGGCTGCTGGGTGGCCAACCACTGCAAGGCTGAGCACCCGGTTTCCCTCCCTCTCCCGTCCCCCACAGAGGGCTCCACGGGGAAGACTTGCCTGATGAAGGCTGTGCTCAACCTTCGGGATGGGACCAATGCCTGCATTCTGCCGCTGCTGCAGATCGACCGGGACTCTGGCAATCCCCAGCCCCTGGTCAACATCCAGTGCAAAGATGAGTACTACCAAGGCCACAGTGCCCTGCACATCGCCATTGAGAAGAGGAGCCTGCAGTGTGTGAAGCTCCTGGTGGAGAATGGGGCCAATGTGCATGCCCAGGCCTGTGGCCACTTCTTCCAAAAGAGCCAAGGGACTTGCTTCTATTTTGGTGAGGAGCTTTTCTTGGATAAATTGAAACACAGAGAGAATAAAACTTTGCTCAAATTCTCAGGGTTAATGTGTCACAGAGCTGGCCTTTAAACTCCAACAAGGAGTAAGTAATGAAATTAAAACAGAGGTAATAGGAACATCCTTTATTGGTTCATAAGGACACTGTAAAGACAGACATTGTAGGCCTAACTACCACGCTAGACTGCCTGAAAAAGTAGTTTGTCTTTTATTTTTAAGATTTATATATTTATGCATACAAGAACAGGGGTGTAAGCTGGAGGTCCAGGGGGTGAGAGGATTCACCAGAGAGAGTGGGGAGCAGAACAGGCAGACTGACTGAAGTACACTGCTGAGGGGAGCAACGGGTGAGAGAGGAGAGGTGTGCTATGCCATGTGTGTTGCTCCCTGGCCAGTGGGGGATCAAACTCTGTGCTGCAGCGTCTGGTGCTAGCTTGATAGTGCTGTCTTTAACCCCATGCACCACCAAGGGGGCCAGTAGTTTGTCTTAAGAGCTTTTTTCTCCTTGTCTGGCAAAGGAGGCTAGTCACACATTCCAGCCCAGAGCAGCGCTGGAGAATGACTGTTAGAACTGGTATGTGATGAGATTAGACCAAACAGGGCCTGGATAAGGGGCAGCAGAGCGCCTGGGCTCTGTTGAAGAAAAAGAAGCTGGAGAAACCGGACCCTGGCTAGCTAGCCTCTGTTCTGGTCCCTTAGAAGATCAAGGGCCGTAGTCCTCTCTTCCTTAGGTCAGAACTGCACAAGAGCTGCCCTTATCAGTGTTCACAGGAGAAGGCACACCAGCCCCGAGCTGAGCCCAGGACCATGTTCCCTCACAGCTCATACTTGGGTGGGGCCAGGACCCCTAGGCAGTGCTCCATCCTCTCCTGTGGGTGCCTGACCCACTTCAGGGACACCTGACCTGCTATCTATGGAGCATGAGGAATATGCCAATGGAAGCTGGGAGACCCGAGGTCCAAGCTGCCCCCTCATCCCCCAGGTGAGCTGCCTCTCTCTCTGGCTGCGTGCACCAAACAGTGGGACATGGTGACCTATCTCCTGGAGAACCAGCACCAGCCTGCCAGTTTGCAGGCTGCCGACTCGCACGGCAACACAGTCCTGCATGCCTTGGTGATGATCGCAGACAACTCGAAGGAGAACAGTGAACTGGTAATCCGCATGTATGACAAGCTCCTCCAGGCTGGGGCCCGGCTCTGCCCCTCCGTGCAGCTGGAGGACATCCCCAACAAGCAGGGCCTCACTCCTTTGAAGCTGGCTGCCAAGGAGGGCAAAATTGAGGTGAGTGGGGCCCTTCCTCTCTCTGCCTATCCAGCAGGACTCATCCTGAGGTTTCTGCACAAAGACGCTGGGGTGGTCTAGATTGGTGGTAGCCCCACTTTTCCATTTGAACACTCCTATTAGAACATTTCAGCCAGCCCTCTAGTATCTCCGTGCCTATTTACAAATAATATCTGGACTATTGAACTAACATATTGTGTCATATTATAAAATGGAATTTTTTTTAAAAGTTGTTTGGGTTTGTTTATTAGGAGACAGTCTTTTCATACCCTTTGCCTATTTTACTATTAGATTTACTCTTAGATTCTCTTCATATTGATTGGTCAGTGTTCTTTATAATAAATTTATTACCATTTTGTTTACTGCAATAGTTGCAAATTTTTTCCCATTTCTATAGTCAAAAACTTTTATTGCATTTTTTTTTTTTTTGCCACACAGGTTTTTTACATTTTTGTGTAATAATTACCTGTTCCTTTAGGGTTCCTTGGTTGTGCTATAACTTCATTCCTTCTGCAAGGTTATACATGTATAACCTTGTGTGTCTATTTACATATATTTTCTTCTTTTTTAAGATTTATTTATTTATGCATACAAGAGCTGGGGTACAGGCCAGAGATGCGGCGGGTGAGAGGATTCATCAGAGACAGAGTGGGGAGCAGAACAGGCAGATGTACTGAAATACACTGCTGAGGGGAGCAGCAGGCCAGACATGAGAGGTCTGCTGTGCCATGTGGGTCAGCTTCTGGCCAGGGATCAAACTCAGACCTTAGTGATGATAGCACTGAGACTTAACCCCTAGGTCACCAGTGAGGCCTAAAGTTTCATAACTTTTCAATTACAACCTCCGCCTGCCAAGGGTGCTATGGTGTGCTTTGTTACCTAGAGGCATGGGTGTGTGGTCTATGGAAATCACTCCCCAATCAATTTTCTTCCCCTTGTTCCTCATTTGTGGAAATAAATTTCTTCTCAACTTATTTGGATTAGAGACCCTTTCTGGTCTGTTGAAGGCTCTGGACTCGGACCACAAAAGTGCACACATGTGTGACTGGTAGCCTCTGATCTCAAGGGGCCTTAAGAACCTCTGGTTGGGGGTCTCTGTCATGTGAGGAGTTGAGGAAAGGGGACCTGAGAGCAGGAGTGGGGAAGGAAGAGCCATGCTGGCTGACAGGCCTGAGCACATGTGGATGGGCAGGAAGGTCTACACTGTGGCTGAGCATGTGCCCAGAGTGTGCTCACGTGTCTGCCTCAGCACTGGAGAGGGGAGTGGGCAGCACTGTAGAGCACCAGGAGTTCTCTGGTTGGGAGCAACCAGTATGGGGGATAGTCATGCAGGCCAAGTTCACATCACACAATATGCAGATTTTCAGACACATCCTGCAGCGGGAGTTCCCAGAGCCGTGCCAATTCCTTTCCCGCAAGTTCACAGAGTGGTGCTATGGGCCTGTCCGTGTGTCACTGTATGACTTGGCCTCTGTGGACACCTGGGAGAAAAATTCAGTGCTGGAGATCATCACCTTTTACTGCAGAAGCCCGGTGAGCTGTGGAGTCGTGAGTACATGTGGAGGGCCTGGCTGTGCACAACCCTGCTGCCTGCTGCTCCTGGACCATGCTATTCTGTAACTGCCACTGGAGGGCGGGAGAGTGGCTGCACAGCCTGTCCCTGGCCTGGGGCCAGTACTTATTCCACAAACCATTCCATCAACTCCAGGACTGTGCCAGGATCTGGGTGGCAACCTTGAGAATCGCTCTGTGGACCTCCACTTGCTCTAGACGGGAGGGAGAGGCCCTCGGTCCCACCATGACAGTGGGGGAGGAAGGGAGGCAGCCAGGGAGGGGTCATTCAGGACTCCCCATCTCTGTCATCCTTTGCATGGGGCTCATGAGTGGGCCCTTATATTGGCTTGCTGACCATACCCCTGCCTCTCACATTCTACCCCAGGACCGACACAAAATGGTCGTTTTGGAGCCGCTGAACAAACTTCTGCAGGCGAAATGGGACCTGCTCATTTCCAGGTTCTTCTTCAACTTCCTGTGTTACTTGATCTACATGTTCATCTTCACGGCTGTTGCCTACCACCAGCCTACCCTGGAGAAGGCAAGGCCGGGGAAGGGGCAAGTCCTGGGGGGCCTGGAAACAACCCCACAAATGACAACAGCCAGCTTTGACAGCTTGGGTGATGGGCCTGAGCTCTTAAGCAGCTGGTGAGAGAGTGGAAGCCAGCACCACACTGTAACAAAATAATACCTAATACTGTGTGCTCACCTATGTGAGAAAGTATTCTAAGTGATTGACAGGTGTTCGTTGGTTTAGTTAATGCTCACAGCCACCCTGAGATGCTGAACTATTATCACCCCCAGTTTATAGTTAAGGGAAGGAAGGCACAGAGAAGTTAAGTAATGTATCCAGGGTCAAACAGGCTGCAAGTTGGGCTCTGAACCCCAACAAGACCGGCTCCAGACCCCATGCTCACAACCTCAGCACAGTGTACCTTTTGATAGACTAGAATCCAGGGGTTCTGCCCCAGAGCTGTGTTCCCTGTACGGCTCTGAGGGTCTCTCCACATGCAGGCTCAGCTCTTGCTCTCAGGGGGTGAGTTGTTTGAGAGGGACTCAGGGCCTAGATCCTAACCGAGTGTCTCTTTAGCAGGTCTTCCTCCCTATGAAAGTGACTGCGGGAAACTCCATGCTGCTGCTGGGCCACATTCTGATCCTGCTCGGGGGGATTTACCTCCTCATGGGCCAGGTGAGGCTCCCCAACCCATGTGGCTCCCAGCCCACCAAGAAGCAAACCTACAATTATGCTGCAAGGAACCTTAGAGTTAGTTCACTAGTCTCTTCATTTGCAAGCAGGTGAATTCCAGACCAGCTTTGGGGCTATTAAGGTCTGTGGGTTCTGACCTTGCCTCCTGAGACTGGGTACCCTCTAGCCAGTCCAATCCCCCAGCAGGTCCTCTTCAGTTGAAAATGCTGCCAGCTTGCAGGGGACAGGCAAGGCAGAGTGGGACAAATCCAGGTTGGCTGGAGTACAGGGCAGTCCCTGGGAAGCCAGGGAGAGAAGAGAAAAAAGGAGCCCTCCTCTTTGCCATGTACAGAGCTTGAGGTCCCCCACATCCACAGGGGGCCTGGAGGTCCCTGCATTGACTTGGTGTCTGTGGATGGATGTACTTTTGGGAAGCAGTTTCCAAAGCTTCTCTACTATCAGCAGATTCACAAGCCCTTCCTCCTACAAGTCAGAGTTGCTGCCTTCACCCCCTAGGTGGTGCTGTCTAGGCTCCCATATGCCAGGCCAGTAGACAGAGCCTGGGCCCTGTGGGGTGGCAGGGCCACACTGTGGTGAGGGGTTTCACACTCCCTGTGTTCCCTCCCCACAGCTGTGGTACTTCTGGAGGCGCCGGTTGTTCATCTGGACCTCATTCATGGACAGCTACTTTGAAATCCTCTTGTATGTGGGGCCTCACCCCTCAGCCTCCAGTCTCAGCCCTCGGGGAGGCGGGTGTGGCAGTGGGCACTGGGTTGGCTTTAGAGGAGAGGATGCAGTGCTGGGAATTGAAACCAGAGCACAGGCCAGACTCAGGAGACCAGGCTGTTATCTAGCCTGGTGTGGTCCATGCTCCTACCCTTGTTATCATGATGGTGATGCTTGTCTTTACTGCGCCCTCGCTCTGCACCAGTGGATCCTGAACGCCTTGCAAGTTGAATCTCACTGGATCTCCACAAACACTCTATGAGTCAGCTTAGCCCATTTTATAGGGGAGGGAACTGAGGCCCACAGGAGGGAACTGAGGTTAAATTTACTTGCCCATGTTGGGGTAGGTTAGGACCTGATTGGGTCCAGCCTCAGCTGGAGAGAGCAGTGGGAGAGGTGGTGGGGGTCAGCACTGGCTAGTGGGGGTTGGGGGGTCCGGCCAAGGGGTCTGCAAGCTGACCAGGACCCTGCCCCTGTGCAGCTTGATCCAGGCCCTGCTCACCGTGCTGTCCCAGGTATTATGTTTCCTGGCCAATGAGTGGTACCTGCCCATTCTTGTGTCCGCTCTGGTGCTGTGCTGGCTGAACCTGCTTTACTATACACGAGGCTTCCAGCACACTGGCATCTACAGCGTCATGATCCAAAAGGTGAGAGGCAGGGATGGTCCCGGAGCAGCCAGACTGCTGGACAGAGCTGGACACCACATTCTCGTGAGACTCCTTTTGGTCTCAGCAGATAGGCACCTTTCACAGTTGACCTGGGCAGAGATTTTTTTTTTTTAAGATTTATTTATTTATTTATTCATTCATTCATTTATTTATTTATTTATTTATTTATTTATTTATTTATTTATTTATTTATTTATTTATACAAGCACTGGGTACCGTCAGAAGAGCGGGAGGGTGAGAGAATTCATCAGAGGCAGAGCAGGGAGCAGAGCAGGCAGATGGACCGAGGTACACTGCTGAGGGGAGCAGCGGGCGGCAGGAGAGGTCTGCGTGCCATGTGGGACCCTCGCCCGGGGATCGAACGGGTGTTGCAGAGGCTGCGGGCAGCTTCGCAACCCAGCGCTCAACCGCTGTGCCACCGGGGAGGCCCTGGGCAGAGATTTTGTCTGTCTGTGCATCAAGCATAGATCTGCTTTCAGGGGTCTGTGCTCTGCATGCTTAAGCAAACACATGCACATGTGTGTGCTTGTGGGTGTCCACAGGGAGCACATGCGTCGCTGCCCACTGAAGGACAGAGAGATGCTCATAAGTCTGCATGTGGGCATATGCATGTGCCTGCATTCATGTATTTATTCAGAAAATATTTAGAAAATGTGTACTCTGAGGAAGATCCTGTTTAGGTGTTTTACTAACAAAGCAGACAAGTCCTGATCTCCTGAAACTGATATTCTAGTGGAGGAAATGAAAACACTAAGAAAATAAATGAGAACATTACAGGCTGCTACATTCTATGAAGAAAATACACAGGACAGGGTGATGGAGAATGGTTCAGTGGGGGGTGCTTTAGATGGGAAGCCCCTAGGAAGCTTTGACATGAAAGAATGATTCAGGCACCACAGACTCGGGAGAAGCATGTAACACAAAGGGATGGCGACAGCCAAGGCTGGGAGTGCAGGAAAAAAGCAAGGACACTGGGTAGAGTGAGGAGAGGAAGTTGGTGGGGGAGACATGGGGGCCAGGGGTTGTGTTGGCCATGGGGAGGGGCTGCAGGCCCCTGGAGGATTTTTCTTTCTTTTCAAATTGTGGGAAATTGCAGCCAACACTATTTACCATCTTGATCCTGTTTACATTACACTTCAGGGGCATGAAGCACATCCACATCGCTGTGCAGCCACTGCACCGTCCATCTCCAGAGCCCTTTTCTCCCCAAACTTCTTGCCCCTTAAACACTAACTCCCCATCTGCTCCTCTGAGTCCCTGGCAGCCACCCTTTACCTTCTACTGCTTCGAGTACCTCCTATAAGTGGAATCATGTAGTATTTGTCTTTTTTTTCTTAAAGATTTATTTATTTATGCATAAAAGACCTGGGGTACAGGCCAGAGATGCAGCAGGTGTGTGTGTGTGTGTGTGTGTGTGTGTGGTGTACTTGGGAACCCATGCTTGGGGTCGAGGCAGAGGTCTGGGGTCATGCTTGGTGGCTGAGCCATTCAGCCTAGCTCCCGGCACCTATGTTCCAGGTCATCCTTCAGGACCTGCTCCGCTTCCTTCTGGTCTACTTAGTCTTCCTTTTTGGCTTCGCTGTAGGTAAAGGCCCTTTGCCCAGCCCTTGCCCACCCTGGACACCCCCTGAAGCTGCCCACTAGCCCCCCAGGCTCAAGATTCCCCCATCTCCCTCCTGCAGCCCTGGTGAGCCTGAGCCGGGAGGCCCGGGACCCCGAGGTCCCTGCAGGCCCCAATGTTACAGAGGCAGTGCAGTCCAGAGCAGGAAAGGCAGATGAGGAGGGCAGCTCAGTCCCATATGAGGGCATACTGGGCGCCTCCTTGGAGCTCTTCAAATTCACCATCGGCATGGGTGAGCTGGCCTTCCAGGACCAGCTGCGCTTCCGTGGAATGGTGCTGCTGCTGCTGCTGACCTACGTGATGCTCACCTACATCCTGCTGCTCAACATGCTCATCGCCCTCATGAGTGACACTGTCAACAACGTGGCCGAAGACAGCTGGAGCATCTGGAAGCTTCAGGTGCCTAGGGAAGCTCTCCTGCCCCTCCCCAAGCTTGGGTCCAGAGAGGAGTGTGCAGGACCCATCTGAGCCTAGGCTTGGGTCCTGGGTGGCTTCACCCTTGTTGGTGTCTCCCTCATCCATCCTTTCTGTCATAGGGTTGTTGCGAGGATCAAATAAGCTCATTGATCTAAACCCTTAGGACGGTGCTCAGCATAGTCATGGCCCAATGTATTTGTTATCATCATCAAGTATTTCTTGGGTGTCCACTCTAGAAATTTTGCAAGTGAGGACATGGAGGCTCTCCTTACCTTCTCTGTCAGGCTCAGTTCTAGAACAAGACAAAGGGCCACATGACTCTCCCATTCGATGTTAAATGGGGTCAGTTTGGTGAGCAAGGCAAGCCAGATGTGAAATCCTTGGGTTGGCCCAGCTTAGGGAAGCTGGGAGTACAAACACCCCTAATATGACACTAACCTACAGTGAAGGCAATAGCTGCTTCTTCATCTGTGAGGGTTGGGGTGAGTCTGGGTAGTTGCCGCAGGGAGAGACTTGCCCAGCAGGCTGGACTCTGTTGCCAATTCATTGTTGACCTTGCACAAGCTCCTTATCTTCTCTGAGCCTCTGTGTCCTCACCCACAAAGCTCCAAGCCCCACTTAACTCACCTGCATGCCAGGGGGCAGGCACAAGTGTGGAGCAAATGAAGCCCGTACCTGGTGGTGTGCAATTCTGGAACTTGTAATTGTTGAGCATTCATCATGTACTGACTTCCCAGTAACTGCCTGAGGTACATTATTCTCAGTCTGCAAGTGGGGAAATTGAGTTCCAGAAAAGTTAGGGATCCAACACCCTTTCACCTAGTGAAATTCTGGAGCTAGGTCCAAATGCACATTCTTTGGGGTATGCTGTAAAGGTGCTATGGTGCATCTCCCTGGCAGCTCTATTTCATGTTTCCTTTGTTTCTAGAAAGCCATCTCTGTCCTGGAGATGGAGAATGGCTACTGGTGGTGCAGGAGGAAGAAGCAGCGGGCAGGTGTGTTGCTAACAGTTGGCACCAGGGCAGATGGCAGCCCCGATGAGCGCTGGTGCTTCAGGTGTGTGAGGGTGCCTGGAGCCAGAATTGTGGGAAAGAGTATCCAAGAATGCCAGGATACTCTTGTTCTGGGTGGGTGAGGTCAGAGATGCTGGATCACATAGGACAGGAGCTGCCACCTGTTTTCCTGCCTGTCTCACTGGCTCAAACTGATCTTGGTGGTCCCTGACCTTCTCCTGGCCTGGGGTACAGTGAAGAGCCAAGATGCCAGAGGGACCCTTGGGTTACAGCACATCAGCCTTGCTCTGGTGGGTCTGCTCTGCCCTCCCAACTTCACAAGCCTCACCATGGAGGCTACCACCTTGTCAACAGAGAACAAACTCTTCCATGCCCAGGGAAGGCCTGGGCAGTGGGAGAAGGATCTTGGTACAAATGCCAGAAACCCACTTGCATGAGATAGCATTTGCAAAGAGAGGGGAGGGCCTTAGGGTGTGGAATAGCCACAAAAGGGCCCCAGAACCCTGGGAAACCAAAGACACACTTGATCTGAACTCTTCTCTGGATGTTCTGGGCAACACATGCCACTATGACTAACCTGATTCAGGCTGATTTCCGGCCAGGGGGTCACCAGCTGATAGCAGCGAGGATGAGGCTCAGGTGGGATGGTGGATGGCCTAGTGTCCTGTGGAGGAGGGCAGAAAGACCCCATCCTTCTCACTGTCCCTGGGCCTACCGAAGTCTACAGTTTACCCAGTGGGGGTAAAGCAGCTTGTAGCACTGGCTTTCCTGGAACTTTGGCTGCTTTTCTGCTTTCAGGGTAGAAGAAGTGAACTGGGCTTCTTGGGAGAAGACACTGCCCACAGTACGTGAAGAGCCGTCAGGGCCAGACGTCCCTGGTGAGTAGTCATAGTGGCTACTGCTCTGTGAGTGTGTGCGCGCACATGTGTGTGTGTGTGTATATGTGTGTGTGCGTGCAAGTCCTTGGTCACACAACCGTGGGGAGTCTGGGGCAGGATTCCTTGGTGGCCACTTCCCAGATCCATCCTATGAAGTTCTTCCTAAAGGGATTGCTCCCTTAAAATAATCCTTCTCTCCTTTCCTTTCCATCCCACCTCTTTGCTGGCTGGTTTTTAAGACATCCTCTGAAGTGATCCCTGTCTCCTCCAGACCAGCCTCAGTCCTGTCCTCATCATTCACTTTCTCACTCCCTATCTCCTCCTCCTGAGTGGGTTCCAATCACTTGCCTCCTTTGCCCAGGCAGTTAGTTCTGGGGTAGCAGGCCTGAGCTGTGGGGACCAAGCAGTGGAATAGGGAAGGCCCCTCACCTTGCTCACAGCATGGGTGGCCATCTGCCTGGGCCCACACTGGCTCTGTGCTGATGGGCCAGCCTTGCTGACTGCAAACTTCCCTCACTATACAAGCCCCCAGCTGCGTTATCTCTGAGAAGCCACTTCCTATGCCTTTCCCCACCTCTCATGGCCTGGATCTTCTCCATTCCAGGGTAGTGATGGCCCCTCCTGCTGCTTCCCACCAAGACCCACTCCTTCCTCCCATCCCTCAGAAGCCTGTTCTCAGGATTAGCTCTCTCCACCGAGTGCCCTTTGTGAAATTTTTACTAGCTCTCACCTCCAGCCTTTCACTGGTCCTCTTACTCTCTTATTCTCTAACAAACTCTATTTGCTTGTATCTGTCGTGCTGACCATGAATCCATGATCCCTGGCATACTGCTCCAAAGCCTGCTGGTTTCTCAGGATCCTGGGTCCATGCCTATGGCCCTCACAAACCCACCCCCTCTTTGTGTCTCTCTTCCCGAATCCTGCCACCCTGCCACTTCAGTGCCAATTCTCTGAAAATCACCTTGCTCCTCACCTTGCCCAAGCACGCCACATCTAAGTCCACATTGCCTGCTGGGGCCTCCAGTTGGACATCCCCAGTGAAAAGAGCTTGGGAAGGGTGGGGTGCCCTATCAGGTAACATGTATATAACCCTCCCACCTCCTCATGCAGGTGGGAGACCTTGAGTTTCTACCCACCTCCCTTTACCTGGTGCTGCCTGTCCTCAGCAAGTCTCAGTTGTTCTGGTTTCTAACCCATAAAGCCTATCACCTCCAGGGTGACTAGCACATGGCAGGGGTTCCGGTAGTGCTTGTGGAAGGAGGCAGACAAGGAGAGGGATTGCCAGGGAACTCCAGAATTGCCTGCTGTCTACAAAGCATAATGCAGTTTCTGTGGCCTCTACCTATTTCCCTGGCACCTGCCTCCTGGGGACACAGCTCAAGAACCAAGTCACAGTACTCTTCATTCTGTTTACAGGCACCACGAAGAGCCCTTCCCTGGCCTCCCAAAGTGGGGAGGACAGTGCCTTGGAGGAAGACTACCTGCCTCTCCAGCTCCTGGAGTCCCGCTGATGACCCAGATGCATGAAGAGGCGGGCAATGCGCAGCAGGGAATCTTTTCAGTTAAAACTGCTGGCTCTGGGGCTCCAGGCAACTTTGGTGGCAAATACATTTTCAAATATATTTTCTCATGACTAACTTCCCTGAAAACATGCTTTGTGCAATCATGGCGGGCCTCTGGGAAAGTTGACATCTGTATGTCTCTGTGGGCATATGTCTGAGGCTGTGTCTGTGCCTTTCTCATCTGTGCATGGGACCAGGAGACCCTCACCCACCACCCCCAGCCTCAGGGCTGTCCTCTGCTGGGTGCAGGCAGTTGGCTGAGGTGCTGTGCCTGTTGCAACGGCAGATGTGTGCTGGTGGATGTGGACACATATCCTCTAACATCCAAGATGTTTCTCAAAGCCTTTGAGACCCTCCTTTTAGTTCAGACTCTGGATTATTGTTTTTCCTTCCCACTAGGCTTCCTGCTCAGTTCCCAAGTTGTTCTCAGCAGGGTAGCCAGAAGGGCCTTCCTAAGACAAAAGAGAAAAATATCACTCCTGTGCTCAGAAGTCTTGAGAGGCTCCCCAATGCTGGCAGGATGCCCTAGTTGGTAGCCCCAGGCCGCCGCAGCTTTGCCTGAGCATTTCCAGTCACCACTACCTTCATTCATACCCTGGCTGTCCTCCATGCTCCTAACCACTTTCAGTAAATTCTTCAGGTAAGCTGATGAACCTCCTGTTTGACCTCTAGACTTGGCTCTCCTTGGGAGCCTTCCAACCCCACAACAATTAAAATCCTACTTATTTCTAATACCAGCTCATAAATTATTGCTCTGCTGTATCATTTCTAGTTTTCTACAGTCAAAACGAACCCCTCCCTTGCTGTGTTTAGAACATGTGTATACATGGCATGAACACTTATGTGACAAAGACCAGAGCATGTTCATATGCTGAAAGCACTAGCAGAGGAGGGTTCCTTTCCCCCTAACACCACTGCTGCTGAGAGTGGGGTACGGAAGGCGGAGCCCTGAGAAATCGGGGAGGAGAGAGTGGAAGTGGATCCAGATAAGATAAACTTAGCTCCTTAAAAGTGATTCCGAAGAATAAACATGAGTGTTGTCAATCACAGGGGTCTGAGAAGTTTCATGAATATTACTGAATAGTTTTTTGGGGAGAGAGCCTACTGCCCACGTTTCTTACAGTCAGGAGCAGCTGGTATTTATGAATTCTCGCCGCGTGCAAAAGCTCTGCAGGATTTCAAGTGTGTTAGCTGATGTGATCTTCAGCAGAGTCTGCAGCACCGGGTCTCCACTTTCCACATAAGAATCGAAAGTTCGTCACGCACGAGTAGAACTCAAGGTCACCCAGCCAAGGCGCGGCAGCGGCAGGGCCCGCACCCCCGTAACTGCACGGCCAAGTCGGCGCGCAGGCGTCCTGGAACTCGCCGCGCTCCCAGTGACCCAGAATTCCCGGGGGCGTGGAAGAGACCATGAGCTCCACGGAAGGGGGGAGTCCAAGGGTGAGGCGGCAGGGCCTGTGGTTACTTGGGCCTTAAGTTCCCGTGAGTCTTTGCCAGTATCACCCTCTATTCTGTGACGAATGGAACATTCCATCTCCTTAAGGGCCTGGGACACCGCAAAATCTCTCTTTTTGCTTAGTGGTGGCGATGCCGGTAGGTGGTGTCAGTGCCTGGCGGCGCGGGCAAGTGGAGTTCAGTGGTTCTGATTTCTGGGTCGGTGTTTTCGGGAAGGTTAACTCTAGGGCGGAGGTTGGCTGGCGTAATGGCAGGTTTCCCGGCGCCAGCACCCACGTGGTCCTCGGGGCGGCGCTGACCATGTCTTGGGGAGTCTCGGGGGCCACGCTGGGCCAAGACGAACGGAGCGCGCGTGCGTCTGTCTTGCAGGGGCGCCGCCATCTCAGGAGTCCGAGGAGCCTGGAACCCGGGTCCCGGTGTCCCGGGCCTGCTGACGGGAGTGCGCAAATGCGAGGAGACTGGGTAAGTGGGGTTCGGCCTGCACCCAGTGGCCCTACACGTGGGTGCTTTGTGATACAACCACAAGAAAACTTAGTCGACTGTCATGATGATACTGAGATTAGGAAGTGCCGTCAGAAGCGATAACTGACGACTTTAATGTGTCTCTGACAGCAGTCACTGAAACCTCGACGGTTTAGTAGAGCTTACCTGCCAGGATCTCCTGAATGTATGTTCTTGTTTCAGATGGGAGGCCTCCTGCAGAGTACCGAGGGGAGCAACACCCCACCCTGAGGTAAGATTTAGTCTGCTTAGGGTTTAATTTGCATCTTCGGTCTCATTTTTTGTAATTTATAATCGGCTGATTAATAGTTGTAATTTTCATATGTTGGGCATCACTACTGCACAGCATGGGACCTTAAGTAAAAGCTGGAGATGGCTGCTCCTTACCTATATTTAAATCAGAACTGCTTGCAAACACATACTGCATTACAATGTCTCCTGTTGTAAATGTAATTTAGCTTAATTCTTAGTGCCTAGTCTGGAGCAGTACAGGGGAGTGAGTTGTCAAGGGCTTGACTGTTCTGATGAAATCACTAATAGGAAGTGCCGTCAGAAGCGATAACTGACGATAACAATTCCTGGCTGACTGCAGTCAAGTCTTTCACCAGTTGCTGGGTCCCCAGGAATAACCTAGTTTGAACAGTGACCCTTAATTTTTGTATTTATCCAGGTCTCATGCTAGTGAAGGAATGCCAGTATGTCATCAACAATTTGAAAAAACAAGGAGCACTGACCTGCTGTGGGGTAAGCTGATACATAACTATAATGCTAGATCCTTAATTGGCAATATCTCAGATACTGATTGAAGTTCATTGTTGCAAGTGAAGTTCTCACTATGACCCATGGCTGTATAATCCAGACCAAATGGCCTTTTTGCTCTGAGATGTAGTTTTCCCTTGTTTTTTAAGGTGATAGCCTTAGATTTCTGACATTTAAAATGTAGCTAAATGGATGTTACATCAGATAAGCAAAGTAGGACTTAACTGTGTTTGGCGCTCAGGTTAGGATACTTCAGGTTGTTGTAATCAGTACTATTTTCAACATTTGCTGATAATGGGTCTCTTTTCCCACCCCCTTTGCAGGTTTTAAGTGCTGGAGAGGTGATGAGCAGTGCAGGTTTTTGAGTTGGGAGTGACAGCAGCTCAACAAACCAAGAGGTAAGGTTAGATCTGAACACTGAACACTGACTCCTATGGTAGAATAAACTACTTTTGTCAAGATTAAAGAAAAGGCTATCAAATGATGAACTCACCTAAACAAGCTGGAATTACCGGCAGATTGTATAGTGGTGAACCTAAGGTTTTCTGAAGATACCTTCAATGCTGTGAATGACTATTGGTTGCTGTGGGAAGTAAAACTAAAATTTAGTGTCTTTGCAGGCTACTTTGACAGAAGATGGCAATCATGCCATGGGAGCAGTTTGAAGTCTCAAGGATCAGCACCAACAGTTTGGACTCTGAAAACTCTTCGTTTTTCTAGTGCTCCTTGCTCAACAGGAGCTTTTGTACCTCAGTATTACATAAAGTGACCACAGGTCTGAGTTTTGTAACTGGAAACTTACTTCCTCTAGAAATTAATGTCCCCATGCTATTCCCATAAACTTAATACTGTAATAAAGGACAATCTTTGGTATTGGTTCTTAAAAATGTATTTGTGGAGAAAAAGTTAAATTTGATGACTGCTGTCAGATAAGAGCAGTACAGGCAGGTGTCAGCAATTCATTTCCTCTATGGTCAGTTTAAGTTGTCTTCACCTCAAGAAAGCAGAGACTCCACAGTATTTAAGGCAGTCCCTTTGATTTACTTGTCTAGCCGAGGTTCAGTCTGACTCTCCACCAAAGCCCCATTTTTCTGAGTTGGGATCTTGCTGCCTGGCCTCAGCATGGTCACTGGGCACCTGGACAATTTTCCTCTGGCTCAAGAATTGACTGGTTCCCCTTGGAAGCCTCTAGTTTATATCTCCCATCTGTCTTCCTTTGAGGCACTAGTTCTGCCAAGAGTTTGAAGTGTTAGCTTCATCTGCATCGCCCTGAATATTTTAGTCTGATGGTATGTTTATCGGGAATGTGCTCAGAGTATCTAGGACTACGTGTGATTCCACGAGTGGAATCTCTTGTGGAAAAAGTACTTAAATCCTAGAAGCAGGGCTCACACCCATATAAGGTCTGGCAGCCATTGGGAGTGATGGGGTGTGGGGCTTGAATGGGCACCTTGTTTGCCCTGGGTATTTATGATGCTCTATTGGAGAATACGGGGTGATGACTGGTCCCAGGGGCAGTTCATATAACAGTAGATTGGGGGGGGGGTGGGCCTCAGAAATGGAGACCCAGTCTAGGAAGTAGATTGGAGTTCCACAAGGGAGGAGAGGTAGACAACCTGCAGTCCAGGTGGGGATGGACTCTTAGGGTCTCTGGCAGCCAGGAGTGAGGGTCAAGATTCCAACCTGACAAGCAGGCACACCACATCTGGCTGGGGTTTCCTGCCCAGAATAAAGCAAATGTAATGGCAGAATTGGAAAATGCCAGGTTAGATGTAGAATCTCATCTCTACTTTCACTTCAGCTCAAGCTTCAAGTATCTACCACACCAGGTTTGGGGAGGCTGAGGGATTGATACCTCTTGAGCTAGGAATGACTGCAGGAGCCAAAAGTCAGATAAACCATTGACAAGGGGAGATGAAGAGGATCAAAGAAGTATTACACAGTCACCCTTTTCCAGATGATACAATCTGGCTTCTCATGGGTGTGTGGTCTCCTTACAGGGATCCCTGTAATGCCTGCTTTAGCCATCCTACCCCAGAGACTCCCACAGTGGGGGTGAGGACCCCCACTTGCATGTCACGTCTGAGCTGCATCTATAGTCTCCCTGTCCTTGTGGTCTTGGGCTAGGACCAGAGGGTCTCCTCCAGGGTCCTCCTGGCCCACTGTGCCATCCCGGGCCTCCTCCCCACTACCTGGGCCCTCGCCCAGCTCTAGGATGGTGGGTAGGTGGCCTTGCTTTGGGGAGCGTTTGCGCAGGCTGAGAAGGAAGGGCTGGGGCAATGAGAAGATGTCCACATTGTTGCCCAGGTCAATCCATGTGACATTAGGGAACTTGCTGGGGTCCTTAAGGGTGTCGGTGAGGTCTCGCAGCAGGGCCCGGGTCAGCCGGTTGCCGTTGAGTGCCAGTGTGGTGAGGCGGGGCAGTGTGCTGAGTGCTGGCAGAAGCTGTAGGACCATGTCATCTGTGAGGCCTGTGAAGCCCAGCTCCACGCTATCCACCTGCTCCCCACAGCGCTGCAGGTAGCTGGTCACCCGCTCCAGGTCACGGGAGGTCAGAGGGATGCCGGACAGGTCCACTGTGTTGTCTGGAGGGCTCCCGGCCAAGATGGCCTTGAGGCTGAAGGGGAGAAGGGACAAGCAAGTTTCAAGCAAGGAGGCAGGCCTGTTCCCCAGTGGCAACAGTGGCCACCACCACATCAGCCTCTGCTTAGCCTGTGACTCCAGGGATGAGAGAAACTGGAGACTTCTGGTTCCTTGATGTCACTGCACATCTCAGCTTGGCTAGGCCCACCTGGCCAGACTGAGGGACCACAAGTAAAAGGCATAGGTGTTTCTGCACTGACTGTAAGGGTACATTCTGGGGCCACAATGCCTGTGTTTGCATCTTAACTCTTTCTACTTGTGTGACCTTTAGTTTGTTCCTTAACCTCTTTCAGCCTCAGGTATTTGCCTGAAAAACAGAGCTGCGTACCAAAGAGTTTTTTTTTTTTTTTTTTAAAAGATTGGTTTATTTATGCATACAAGAACTGGGGTGTAGGCCCGAGGTGTGGGGTGGTGAGAGGATTCACCAGAGACAGAGTGGGGAGCAGAACAGGCAGATCTACTGAGATACACTGCTGAGGGGAGCAGTGTGTGAGACAGGAGGGGTCTGTTGCGTCATGTGGGTCACCTCCCTGGATGGGGATCGAACTCATGCTGCAGTGGCTGTGGATAGCTTCATAGTACTGTGACTTAACCCCTTGTGCCACCAGGGAGGCCCCCACAAAGAGTTGTTAGGTAAAATGATCAATGTAAATCATTTAGAACAATGTCTTATATAGGTAAGTGACAAGTATTCGTTCTGTCAAATATACTTGATTCACACTCTGTCAGGAATCTCTTGGGCTGGGCTTCCTCCTTCCCCAAGAGTGGCACAAGATGTCTAAAATCCTTTCCAGACCACCTGCCCCACCAGATAGGAGGCCTCATGGAGAGGTCTGGGGCACAGCAAGGCAGGCGAATGTGCAGGGCACAGGGGCTCCCGTGGGAACAGCTGACTGCTGCAAGCTGAATGCTTCCAGGTGCCACTGGATACCCCTTCCTTTCTTCCCTTTCTTCTTGCCCTGGCCACAGACTGCCCCATTTCCAGGCACCCTGGGCAAGCCCTGAGGTCCCAACCCTGGAAGGTGGAAGGAGAGGTAGGTGGAAGGTGGTCACCACATGCTTTAAGAGCATACTTTAACCAGCAGCCCAAAGACCACAGCGTGGGCATCCTCTTGGTAAAAGAGGATTAAGTTCCTACCTTTGGGGGTCTCTTAAAGCTGGAAGTTTGCTCATCTCGCCTTTCACATGGGCCAGTCTCAGGGAGTTTGAAGGTAAAGCTCTCAAGGCCTGACATCTAAGCACATGAAACACTGCCTGGCATTTATTCAGCATGATTTAAGTGTTGGGTGTTGCTGATGTCATTAATAATACAGACTTATTACACCAGGGAAATAAGTATTGTAGTGGTTAACAGCCTGGAATTAAGTATTGTAGTGGTTAACAGTGGAATCCAGCCCCACCACTTACCAAGTGGGTGAGCACGGCCCAGTCAAGTAGCAATAGTAACACCCCCTACCTCACTGAATCCTTTAAACAGTGTTCATTAAATGCCTACTATGTGCCAAGTTCTGCCATAGGCACCAGTGAACAAGATAACAAATAAGAAAGTGCAGTTCAAGGGTAGTTTTAAGTGGGGGAGCAGGAGGGTGAGGGGGGGCATGGCTACTTGGGGAAGGTTTGTCTGAGGAAGTGGCATTTGAGCTGACACATAAAGGAAAAGAAAACCGTCCATCAGGAGAGTTTGCTAAGAATTCCAGCAGAGCCGATGGGCGTGTGCAAAGGCCCTGAAGTTGGAAAGAGGTTGGTGTGTCTCTGAACCAGCAGGGTGGCAGAGCTGCCTGTGTGGCTGAGGTGAGGGAAAGCAGGAGGGGTCAGACCAGACAGGGTCTCTTTGGATTTCATTCAGAGAGAAAGGAAACCACCTGAGGGTAGTGAGACTTCTGAAGAATAGACTGAGCATGCATGTGTGTAGGGGAGACAGAAGAGGAGGCCCCTAGATTCTAGCAGAGCTCAAAATTAGGTTGGATTTGTAGAAGGATGTTGGATTGGGGGCAGGGCGGGTGGGCCTTAGGAGACCAGAACTCACCAAGCCTGCGGCTTCCTCTTCACCAGCCCCCTGGGCCGCCTCCACTGGGAGTGGGGGCTGAGGTGGTAGGTCAGCTGCCGGCACAGCTTCTCCATGGCTCCTAGTGCATCGCCTTCCTGCAGAGGCAACCACAGGCAGTGGGTCCCCGAGTCAGTGGAGCAGGTGGGAGAGCCCTCACCCCTACCTCCTGCTTCCTGCCTTTGGGGAAAGGGCACAGCACCCCCAAGCTGAGCTGGGGGAGGTCTGCTCTGATGTAGGGCACGCGCCTTAGCAGAGGGCAGGTCGCAAATGGAGTTGCATGATGCTTTAAGTTTCTGTGAATTAGTTGCTATCATTGAAAAAAATTGAAATTTATGCAAATCTGGATTCCAGGCGAACTGACAACTGACTGAAGCTGAATGCCAGCTCAACCATTAGCCAGAATTCACTATGGTTCCTGCCAGTCCCCAGTGTCCAGGGCCATTCTGCTAATTTACTTGCTCAACAAATATTTGCTGAGCACTGACCAGGTGCTAGGCACTTGCTCCAGGAGCTGGGGACACAGCCATGAACAAATGTCCGTGCTGTCATATTTCACAAAGTAAAGATGAAAGTGGTGGGCCTCCCTGGTGGCGCAAGGGGTTAAGCACTGCACTATGAAGCAATCCGCAGCCTCTGCAGCGTGGCTGGCCACGGAGAAACTCATGGCGAGGCAGACCTCTCCTGTCTCCCCTCAGCAGTGTATTTCAGTCAGTCTGCCTGTTCTGTTCGCCACTTTGTCTCTGGTGAATCCTCTCACCCCTGCATCTCTGGCCTGTACCCCAGCTCTTGTGTGCATAAATAAATAAATCTTTAAAAAAAAAAAAGATGAAAGTGAAATCTTTTTACCATGTCTCTTTTACCTATGTCAGAAGTCAGAAAAGAAAGAGGGGACAAGTCTTTCCCAACCTAATTCATTCATTTACGTTACCTGTATGGCCCATTAGATTTGCCTTTTTGAGACACTGCATATTATAAGCTGAACTGTGTCCCACCCCAAGTTTCAGGCTAAAGTTCCAATCCCCAACCCCTCTGAATGCGACTATTTGGTAAAGAGATAATTAAGGTAAATGAGGCCACTGGGTAAGCCCAATCCAATACTAGGACATAGGCACAGGAAGACCATGTGAAGACAAAGGAGAGGGTGGTTGTCTACAAGCCCATGAGAGAGCCTCAGAAGATACGAACCCTGCTGACACCTTCCTCTTGGACTTCCAGTCCCCAGGCTGTGGCGACATTTCTGTTATTATGGCAGCCCTAGCAAACGCATGCAGTGGGTTAAAGGACGCAGTAGGCGGTACGACAGAGACCCCAACTCTGTCCCAAGGGAGGTGAGTTCAACAGTCACCAACAGTCACTCAGTCAAGAGTGAGTGGCCAAGAACATGCTCCCCGCAGATGGTCCAGTGCCAAGGACCAGTGCCAGGCAGTGTCAGGGCTCAGCTGCAAACCCACATACAGATAACAGTGTGGACTTGGTGGGGTTAAACCATGAGCCCACGTGTAGCGCTCAGCAGAGCGCCTGGTGCAGAGAATGCTCAGTAAAAGACCAGCTTGATTATTAGTATGGTCCCTCTGCTAATGGAGAAGGAGCATGCACTTGGGGTCAAACTGTGGATTCAAACCTTTGCTTTGCTACCTCCTGTGTGTCCCTGCGCAAGTCACTTGACCCCTCATCTGTGAAGATGGATAACCACACTGACCTCTCAGAATATTCTGTGAGGGTTAAATGAATGCCACTTGTAAAGGCGCTGAATAGAGCACTCTGTAAGCTCTCCAGGAATGCTGGATAAATAAATACTGTGTTGTATTGTGAGAACTGCAAAAACATGCAGAACTCTGCCATGGTAAAAGGTTACTTTCACCTAATCTCAGACTTGATGGGCTTTTAAGAAGGATGGGTTAGCTTCTTGGATGAAGAAAGGAAACACAGACACCCCAGAGTGAGGAGGCAACAACTGTACAAGGGCTTGGGGGTGGGGTGTGTGACAGGCATGGGAGCAGGTGACAATCTGGGCATAGCCTGACCACTTCTCACCACCTCCTCGACTACCCCTATGGTCCGAGCCACTACTGACTGTCACCTGCATCGCTGCACAGACATTACATTGGGACGTTATGGAATTCCTGCCATACCCTAAAGCAGCACAGGATTTCCTCACCCTCATAGTACAGAGGAAGAAACTGAGGCTCCTCTCAGTGGCTGGGCAGATGGAAAGCCGAGAAGGAGCCTCTGAGGGAGGAAGATAGGAGGTAGAAGGAGGGGGTGAAGTAGCCAGAGAAGTGAAACATCTGAGCAGGGATTCGGAGGCAAGGGAAGGTACAAGATGGGATGGGATTGGTTTAGACAAACTCTCTGGTCTCCAGTTGCCCTCTGGCTTCCTACTGCCCAAGCCTGTCTGAGAGAGGAATGAATGTCACCTTTTCCCCCGGGCATTTGCAACCCATTTGCAAGCTGGGATGACAGCTGATTCCTAGTTTCTTGCTGAGCCTAGGGGTATAGCTGAGATGCAGATGGATTTACTGTGTTGGACACTGCTTAGCATCTGACTGACTCCCCTGGCCAGGGGATGAGCTGAGGGGGAAGAGCTACAACACTAAAGGAGCAGAGAATTATTGGACACCAAATGGTGGAGAAGGCACCTTCAGAGAAGCAGGAGTCAGCAGAGCCATGGGCACCAAGGAGAAGAGGTCTGTGCAGTCAGACACCCCATGGACGCCACTGGAAAGCCAAGGATGAGGCCTTGGCCAGCACAGGCTCAGGGAGGGGGAGTAGCATAGGGGATGGGATGAAGGTCAAGTTGAGGGGAGGTGACAGAGGAGACTGCCTCTAGAGCTGGCTCCACTCCCTCCAATCCTCCCCCACACCTCACCCTTGGCAGGATGGAATCTTGAGGGGCTTTAAAAACACTGCTGCTTGGCCAACTCCAGCCATGGTGTGAAACTCAGGCAAGAGGATTTTTTTTTAAAGATTTATTTACTTATGCATACAAGAACTGGGGTACAGGCCAGAAGTGTGGGGGGTGAGAGGATTCACCAGAGACAGAGTGGGGAACAGAACAGGCAGACTGACTGAAATACACTGCTGAGGAGAGCAGTGGGCGAGTCAGGAGAGATCTGCTGCGCCATGTGGGTTGCTCCCTGGCCCGGGGATCAAACTCTTGCTGCAGAGGCTGCAGATAGCCTCACAGTGCTGTGCTTAACCCCTTGCCACCAGGGAGGCCCCAGGCAAGGGGATTTTTAAAAGATGCCCTCTCCCCTTCTCTCCTCCCATTCCTTGTGCGGCTAATGTCGTGACCCTTTAAAAACCTGAAGGACCAGTGGGTGGGGGCTGGTGGTCTGCACAGCGTCACCCCTGAACCCCACCCTCTAGCCTGGACAGCTGGGCTCAGAGGAAGAAACAAAGAGGGGAAGAGGTGGCAAAGTAGTCGCTGCAGTGTGGCATCACTGCCATGAGGGGGCAGCCGTGTGCAGGGCAAGGGGACCCAGCACAGGCCCAGCCCATCCCCATCTGGGAAAGAGAGGAGCCGGGGGCTCCTTAGTCCCCAACAGGGACGCTGCTCTGCCTGCTCGATAAACACCATCTTCAGCTTAGACTACTTCAAGGTGTTTCAATCATTTGCAACCAGAAAAGCCTTCAGCAAACCCATTTAATTTCCCCCCACTCCCCACCAGCCCCACTCCATCACTTTTCAAAGTCCCCTCCAGGCTTCCCTCCTGCTGAAAACAGGCCTGAAATAGGCCCAGGGTTGGAAGATTAAAATGAGAAGGTGGGGAAAAGCCAGCAAAGCCACAGAGACAGAAGGGGAGGGAGGAGGCAGGGAAAGAGCAAGTGCAGCTTCTGTGCGGTTCTGTGCCCAGAAACAGCTGCCTCCAGGTACAGGCAGCCTTGCCCTGACAGCTCTGACCAGGGAGTTCTGGCCACAGCGGTGTGAGTGCCCTGCACCTGAGGTCTACTGGCCCACCCCCTCTGGGGACTTTTTTCAGAAAATGGTGCCCACAGCAGCCCCTTTGTGTGACCAGACACCCCTCTTGAGCCACAGCTCAGTGGCCCCCAGTGGGCACTGGCAGAGAGCTGCCTATCCACCTTCTCCCTGGAATCTGGAGTTGAAGGAGACACACCTCCCACTCCTCCAGGGGCTGAGCCCTGCTAAACAAACTGGGGTGCCAATGGCAGCCCTGTTCCTGCCATCTGATGAGGGGAAGAGTGAATGGAGAGTGAGGCCTGTGGAGCCGAGAGGAGGGATGCAGCTGCGTCTGCACTGTTTCCTCTGCAGTTTCAGTGCTTCTCCAAGCTTGGCTGCCTTTGGGTCCCACAAGACCCCTCAGAACCAGAAGGATAATTTCTCTTCTGCTTAAGGCAGTCTGAAAGGCTGCCTGTGACATTGCCCCAGGCTGCTCAGGGGACACTCACTGAACTGTCAGAAAAGAAGCTCAAGGCAGGCCCTTTCAGGAGGGCTCACAGCCCTGACATGCTCCATCTCTCAACTGTCAGATGGAGACACCCACCGCCCCCTTCACTTCCCAGGCACTGTTGTGTGCTGCCCCCAGGACTCCAGCAAGCACAGGCCTCCAGTGCCCTGCACCCAAAGGCTTCCTTGATTCAGTCACAAGTTCATTCATCAAATATTGATTGTCCTGCCTACCGCATACCAGATGATACTCCAGATGCTCTGTGGGGGTGGGGGGTGGTGGTGGAGGGGGGGGGCAGTGCTTCTGTGTACTTCCTCTCCCAGTCCACTCTCTGCCCTTCCCTTTGCTCAGAAGGCTCACCAGTACAAACAACATCACCAGGCCACCTTGCCCCTGCTTCCAATGGGTTCAGCTAATGGGAACAATTGGGAGCAAGATCAGAGGGCAGGAGAGAAAGGTCAAGGGATTTATTCTTCAGCATGTGTGTCAGCCACCCTCCGAAGTCCCCACTGTCGCTGGCTGCCCTGGACTCGTGCCCTGTGTTGGCTCTTCCCACATCATATCAATAGAATGAGGTTAGAGCATGAAAGACGTGTGGCTTCTGTCTTGCTCTCTCAGCTTGCCCGCTCTGGGATAAGCTGGCTGCCGTGATGTGAGGATGCTCAAGCAGGAACAGAGGTCTCCCGCCAACCACCATGGAATGTGCCATCCTGGAATGGGTCTGCCATCCTGTCACGCTGTCTGACACCTGAAGCCCTGGTCAATGTCTTGATAGACCCTAAACTAGAATTCCCTAGCTAAGCTGCTCCCGAATTCCTGACCTATAGAGACTATACAATGGTAAATGTCTGATGTCTTAAGCCAGTAAGTTTTGGGGGAATTTATTATGCAGTAATAGAAAATATAACCCGGCTCTGGAAGATTCAGCCTGAGTCCAGTCCGCTGAGGCCCTTCCATGGTAACAGCTCCCTGCTGCTGCTACCGGTCTTAGGGTATCTATCTCAATGTCCTGTTCCTTTCCTTCATTTTGCCCACAACCCTGGAAATAGTGCCTCATTAAACTCAAAAATTCACAGTAGAAAGGGACACTTACTCTCTGCTAGGACCTGCCTGTGTAGGATGCAATCATGAACAAGAGAGGCACTATCTCTTCCCTTCCGGAGCTTATATTCTAGTCGGGGAAGCACAAAATAAATTAGCTAACACATAAGTAAGCAAGATAATTTTGGACACCAGTAGTTGAAATGAACAAATAAATGACAAAATAAACAGGGCACAAAATAGAGTTTGGTCAGGAGACAAGTGGGGTAGGCGGGTCAGAGGGCCTCCGAGAGGCTGGCCAGGCGGCGTGTGCGTGAGGAAAGGGGAGTTCAGACAGGAGCCAGTGGCATCAGAGGTGGCAGCAAAATCTGCAAGGTAGGAGAGGGTCTGGATGCTCCAGGAACAGAGGAGACCTCCTGGCAGGAGCTGGGAGCTGGGCTGAGTGGGGGAGATGAGCTGAGGGGTCGGAGACCTAGGCAGGGTGAGAGAAGGAGTGTGGATTTTAGTTAAAATGCAACGCCGTGCCATAAGGAAGGTTTTTCAGTGAGGTACCTGTGGAGATTGTGCTCCAGGATTCCTGGAGGGGGATGGGGCTGGGACTCAGAGGGCCGTGGCCATGGAGACAAACTGACAGGCGGGACATACTAGGGATCCAAGGTTGTCAGGACTTGCCGACTGTGCTGGAAAGTGTGGGCGCTCCTTCCAAAATCCCTTGGACTTGCTTTTCCCAATTTTGTGCCCCTTCCTGCTTCATTATGCTGCTGCCTGTCCTGCACCTGCTCTGCTTTGTAGCAGCCGCTCCCAGGCAAGCTCAGGGAGACAGGCATACCCAGGAATTTACAGTCCCTGGGGCAGCACTTCATTCTCCCTAGTAGCAAGGTTGGAAAGTCCATCCCCACCTCAGGTTGCGACAACTCTGCAAGTCAGTTACACCATTGTCCCCATGGAGCAGGAGGACGCTGCCCTTGGAGGACAAAGCCTGAGCTCGCCTGCATCCCCTAGGAGACTTCCGCAATGATCGCTGTGCACACAGCGTCTGCTTGTGGGAACCTGACTGCAGAAATGACAGAGGCGGCGGGCTCGGCTGGGCTGGGCTGGGGTGCAGCAAAGGAAGGAGACTCAATCCCTGGCTGGCTGATCAGAGTGAAGAGTGGACTGAGTTTGGGCTGGGGAGGGGGGCTGAGTTTAGGAACACCCAGGTGGGAATGTCTAAGAGGTGGAAGACTTTACAGTATGAAGCTGGGCTGCTCTAGAATAGGCAGGGGTCGGGCAAGGTCCCCCACAGACCCCAGCCTCAACTTCCCAGGCCAAGTCAGGTATAAATTGAATGAGAAGCAAGAATGGTGCCTGATACCAGCTCCTCTTCCCCAGGACTTGAGGCACGTAGTCTGCCAGCCCTTATTACTGACTTTTTCTTACTGTTCCATATTCGAGTACTGCATCCCTGCCTCTTGGCTCTACCCCTCCAACTGCCCCCATAGCTCCCTGCCTTCCGTAGCCAGCATCCCCCTCAGTCTTGGCACTAGATAGCCTAGAAGCCACAGAGAGGGCCTGAGGCAAAGCCCCAAATGGAGGTTCAGTCCCAGAGCAAGGTTCCAGCCCCTTGGGTGACCATGTTCACAGAGTGAGGGGTGGGTCTGGAAGCCAGCTCCTCACTCTTGTCCTTGACACTGCCCTGAAAGCAGAAGCTTCCTGGGCCTCCCCTGGTGGCGCAGGTGATTGAGCACAGCGCTGTGAAGCTGTCCGCAGCCTCTGCAGCGCCAGTTCGATCCCTGCCAGCCAGCATGCATGCATGCATGCATGCATGCATAAATAAATAAATAAATAAATAAATAAATAAATAAATAAATAAATCTTTAAAAAAAAAAAAAAAAAAGCAGAAGCTTCCTTCTGGTACGCCTCCATGCCTCCATGGCTTCCTACCCCTGCCACGGAGGAAGCGCTTCTTTTGGAAATAGCTGGAAATTGAGGGGTGGGAGAGGAAGAATCAAAACAACAAAGAAAAACTCAAGTATGGGGCTGCCCATCCCTGCCAGGGTCCTGATGGCAGCTCTGGGTGAGCCAGTCTACACCTGGGAGCTGCAGGAATGGGCAGATCCTCCCATCGAGAAGGGGCTGAGAAGCACCTGCAGAACCTGGAGAGCCATGGAGATTTTCCTCCATATATCTCAGTGGACTTCAGTAAAGTGGGTGGGTAAGGAAGACAGTGGGGTGTGGTGGGGACTGAGGCAAACTGGAGAATCCCAGGCAAGGTCCCTGCTAGACTTATATGGCATCTTGGTTCAAATAGTCTTGCGTTAAAGTGTATGGCTTGGTGGGCAGAGAGATGGCTGGGTTTTAAGTCTCCCATTTCTCCCCATCCCTACCACCTCCGTTTTCATGTCTTTATGCAGGCTACAAGTACACAGCTGTACATGGTGGCCCTGGTTTCACATATCAGGGATGAATACTCAGCTCCAGCCCCATAGGAATGAGTGTGTCATGCTGCTGGAGCTTCCGATTGTTCAAGGGCAGCTGGGTATAGAGCTTGTGTGCAACATAAACACTGGCACTGAATCCAGATTTAATATACTCCATGGGCCAAACAAACCCTGTGCTGATGGTGTCAATGTGCAGCCTCCACCATGGATGCTGAGCCTCAGGACAGGAGGGCACCTCAAAGGGGTTCCATATTTTTGGGCACTGTGCTGCCTAGAAAGGTGCCCACCTCACAACCCTGGGCCCAGCTGGCTCAGCCACCCTACCGGCTTGGGGCAGTGGATGTAGCGGGCCAGGCTGATGATGAGGTCATGTGTGATGGGGTCCACCAGGTTCCTGAAGCTGGCATAGCGGTACAGAACATCGTCCAGCGAGGTCGACTCCATGCCCAGATCCTACAAGAGTAAAGGAGAACCAGAGGTCAGGGGTGGTCCTGCCCTACCCTCCAGTCCCACCCAAACACCTGAAACTGTCCCTGGAGGCAACTCAGCTACCCCCTCCCTGGCAAAGGAAGGAACCCTCTTCAAAGAGGCTTTTCAACCTGCAAGGAAACATCTTCCTCAGGGGGCAGGGTAAGCCCCTGCAGGCTCCACAAACATGGTCTTCCTGGTATATGGGCCTCTTCTGAGATAACCCCAAAACCTTCACTGGGTCCAGTTCCCCTGAGGAGGAGGGCAAGGCTGGCTGCCTGGGCATTAGTAGCTGCTTCCCACCCAGGGCAAGTCCTGACACAGAGCAAAATCCCCTGACAGTTGTGTATTGACATGGATTTGTTTTCTTTCTGCTTCTGCTCCTTCTGTAGATGACCCAACCTTGGCTTTGCTTTGCCTTGGGGATATGTGTGTGAGCTCTGAGGTTCAAAGGAGAAGTTGCCAGGTGTACAAAAGAAAACCCCTGAGGGGTCCCTAAGAAATGGATCAAGTGGGGTTCTCCTAAGGGAGGGGAAGGGGATAGAGGTGGGTGGCACTGCATGGGCTGGGCGGTACACTGGCAAGCCTAAAGGACAAGGGGTTGGGGGAACACACACTGGGAGCCTCTGCAGAGACCCCTGCCCGCTATTAAGTCAGGGACTCTTGGGACACAGCCAAGAGCAGTGACCAGCATGGGTGAGGTCTCAAAGGCCCTGCTATAAATGTTCTGGACTATATAAGATCCTAAGATTCTTGTCCAACTGCAGGGAAAGGGCAAAATATGACTAACCTTGAATTTCCCACAAGTCAAGCTGGTGAGAGCTTGAAAGAGCTAGTGCTTGAGAGAAATGAAGAAACAATTTTCTACCTTCGAGTGTTGGACTAAACTTTATGCCCTGTATTTGGAAGAGTGCGGATACACTGCCCTTTTTTCAACGCCCCCTCCCCCAGTGCCTGTGGCCCTTGGGCGGGCTGTGCTTCCTGCTCCTAGCTCCACGCCTTGCAGACCAGGCAGGACGGACATCTCCCCAGGGGGCATGTACTCACCCTGCCCTAAAGACCAGGGGCTACTGAGGTGGGGCAAGCAGGGAGGCAGCACCACTCACTTTTGCTGCCCTCACCCCACCTCTCTAGGCCCCAAAGCCACATGTGGAACAGCCCACCGAGCACAGCCCAGAGGTGGGTCCAGCCAGGATGGCAGGGTGCTGAGAGCCAGGGACAGGAAATATGTGGGGGACTGGTGAGGGCCAGCAGGGGACTGACCCTTTCTCTCAGTGGACAGCCTGAACCTCTCTCAATGCCTTTCCCCTGTGCTGCTGGGACATCCTGGCAAGGCAGGGAGGCTGGGAATCATTGTTCCCAGTTTCCAGGTGAGGAAAGCAGGCCCTTCTTCAGCTATGATGGAATTTTGGACGCAGGGAAGCTGGACCTATGGCCTTGCCTGGGACCTTCTTTGGAGGCCTGCTTTGGCTTATCTTTACTGAGGGTGAGCTGGCCTGAAGACAGGCTGGAGGCAGGAATGGTGTCCTGTAGTTTTCAGCTAACATTTCCAAGAGCAAAAGAAGAAAAGGGAGGCCTCCCTGGTGGCACAAGGGGTTAGGACACAGCGCTACGAAGCTATCTGCAGTCACTGCAGCACGAATTCCATCTTCGGCCAGGGAGGTGACCAATATGGCACAGCAGACCTCTCCTGTCTCACCCACTGCGCCCCCCAGCAGTGTATTTCAGTAGATCTGCCTGTTCTGTTCTGTCTCTGGTGAATCCTCTCACCCCCCGACACCTCTGACCTGTACCCCAGTTCTTGTACGCATAAATAAATAAATCTTTTTTTTTTTTTTTAAAGAAAAGTTCTTTGCTGGATGGATCTGGATGGGCCAGGATGCCAGGTTCTCTGTCCCTGTAGGGAGCCCTACTGAGCCCCAGTTCCATGGATAAAGCCCTCTGCTCTCCTTGTTAGAAGGAAATGGATTCCAGGTTTCATTGAGGACACCAAGGGACCAGTTTGGGGAGTTTTGTTTTAATGAGACGAACCTGAGAGGCAGACTGCCATGTCCTGCACTGGGTTCTCTGGCTGCTAAAATAATTCACTGGGGCTCAGGCCTGGATGCAGGCAGAGGGAGTCTTCTGAAGCGGCCGTGTTCTAGAACTAAGGCTTTTTGAGAACCAAGTGCAACAGGCCACAGCTGCATCCTGGGCCATTTACATAAGGGCACTGTGCCTCAGTTTCCTCTTCAGTAGAATGGGGACAGTGATTCCTGTCTCACAGGTAGGTGAGAGAAATAAGACAGTAAAGCCTCTGGCAGGGAAGAAAGCCCCCTACAAACCCCCCTACCCTCAGTCCCTCTCCTCCCACAGGTCCCCCCTGGGAGACCTCTGCTTATACAGTGTGGTTCTTCATCTCTCTTTGTGCCACAGGCCACAAAAAAGCCATGATTTCTCTCTCTAGAAAAGCACAGGGGTCAGGCCAAGACAGGAAGCTTGCTGCACACAAGCCATGCTGACCTCACAGTCAGTAGGATGTGGGCCATGGGGACATGTATGACCTTAGGACACAAACTTTCCTGGTTATGTGTAAAAACAGGGCCCGGCCCTCCCTGGGGCAGGACGAGGCAGGGGATGTAGGAAGGGAGAAAGTCAAAGGGCTTGTATTCAAGAGCCAGAAGCTCATGTGCTCAAAGAACCCTGGGGTGGGGGTGGGGGCCGAGTCCCGGAACTGGAAATGGAGGGATGATGCATCCAACGGTCAGAGGCCACATGTGGCAGGAGGAGGTGGAGGGGAAGGAGGAAGAGGAGGAGGGAGACATGGATTTGATCTTTCCTGTCTGTCCTGTAGGCTGGGCCACCCCTCTGTGGACTGTCAACTTGAAGGCAGCCTCGGTCCCCCTCTGCTTCAGCCATGTACCCCTCTCCTCAGTGTGTACCCCAGCTCACAACATATGCCTCGTGGTTACCTTTTACACACATCCCTGTTTCCTGTCCTCAAATGCCAAGTGGGAGAAAGCACTGGATTCTAGGCTCTCTCAGCCACCAACTCACTGTAAGTCTACGGGTGTGAAATAGGTAGATGAAGAGTCAAGCCTGGCTCTGGCAGAGCAGCTGTGCTGGAGCTCTATTACTAAAACCCCTGCTGGGGTTTCCTGGGCTCCTATCAGTCCCGTTCGGACTTCCCTTCCCTCCTCCTTTCAAGACCAGTAGAAGCAGTTGCTGGGGTCAAAGACAGGCTGCCCCCTGCCCCCCACCTCCTCCCCACCCCAGGTGCCTAAGAGGCCTGCTGATTATTTTGAATTGGAAGAAATTAAGACACAGAATGATTTTTTTTTTTTTTTTTTGCCTATTTATCTCCTTGAAGACAGGAAAATAAATCTCAGTGGTGGTCCGGGAGGTGAGAGACAGCCAGCCTGTTGCAGCCTTACCGCCCCAGACTAAGCTTGCAGAGTCTGCTTTTATGCACACATGGATAAACCCTGCAAAATGGCTTTTTCTTTAAATTGCGGAGTTCTTCTGGTTTTTTCCTCCTAAACTTACTGCCCTTTTCTAGACACTATATAACCGCACTGGATGACCAGATGAGAGGTTCTATTGTTCTACGTGTGGGGTCACTGTGCACAGAATGAAAGTTTGTCTTTTTTCTCTCTAATCTCTTTATCAATTTATTTTCCAGCCATACAATCCTAGAAGGTAGAGGAAGATTAGCTTCATCTCCAATGCTCTTCCATTCTGGAATATTGTTGAAAACCTTAGTCTCTAACCCAGGAGGCTTGGACAGATCCGGGAGGATGCAAAATTCCTTCCCAGCGCCCCACGCCCTCACACCTTCCACCCTCTGCCACTCCGTGTGCTCAGTGTGCTGACAACGGCCTTGGCTCCCTGGGCTGCTGTTGTCTAGGTTCCTTTAGTTGGTGCTCAGGAGGGGAAAGGGTGGGAGGAAGAAAACTGGGGGAGGGTCTCCCAGAGAAGGCAGACATGGCCCTCTCCCTAGGCTCTGGGTAACTGTGAGTCATGGCCACCGCCCTCTCTGAATTCCAGCCGGGGTGGGGCTCCTGAAGGTCCCAGGCTGGATTACAAGGAACCGCAACAGGGAAGCCAGATGGGTCAGGGCAAAGGCTGCTGCATGTTTTATTGCTGCCTTTCCTTTGACCCAACTAGGCCCAAGAAATACATGCCTTGCTTTAGGATACGTCTTGTGTCCCACGTACCTCTGGTGACTTTGGCTCCTTGCTATCCTCTCCATGCCTCTCCCCTAAGCCTGTTTACTGGGAATGACCGTTGTCTGACTTTGCACTCAAGATACCTCCCCCTGCCCCCACCCCATTATTGCCCAGCAGGGTCCCCTAGCTTTGCTATGGCCTGGCTCCCCTGTTAGGACAAAAGTGGGTGGATGAGCAGCGACTCCTATGTGCACAGGGGAAAGTGGAAGAATCAAGCCTCTATGTAGCTCCTCCGGCCATGGCTTTGGCCTGGGAGGAGCTGGTCTGCCTTGCAGTGAGGGTGACCCTAGCTCCCTTATTATGGGTCTAAACAATACCAGCTCTAGTTGCTGAGCATATGGATGGTTTCTCATCAGAAATACTGGAAACATCAGCAGGTGAGCCTGAGTCACTGCCATGGGCAACTCTGCTCAGAGAGTGTGGCTGGCCTGGTACTTGAGCACAAGAGCCAGGTTTGAGGACTCCTTCCAATGGAAAGAGAGAGGTTGGGCCTGAAATTAGGGGCATGACTATCCAAAAGTGAGCAGAGATTCACATAGAAAGGTCAGAACAGCATTTCTCAAAGTGTGAAGCTGGCCCCTGAGATCCTTTAAGGGTCTCCGCTCCAATGACATATCAGCATGCTAGATTTTCTTTGTAGACTGCAACCCAAAAACCTATCACAGGAGACCGAGTGCAGAAGCAGCACAAGAGAATCCAATGACCTTCTACTAAGCCACACTTTAAAGAGATGGGCGCAACTGTGAAATAATGCCACTCTTTCACTGCATTTTTTCC